TGTGCTGTTTGTTTGTAATTTAAATTCTCATGCAGTCGCTAGGATCGGCGAGGGGGCCGTCCTCACCAACTGGCAACCACCACCATGACATATCCATGCACGTACATACATATGTCCTGCGTCCTACTCCGCCTGCGTGGCTATGCTAGCTTCCTTCCGCAGTTGTCGCCAGTTGCTGCTGCTGTTGTTGTTGCTGGTGGTGGTGGCGGTGGTAGTTCCTTCCCCCTTTTGCACGTGGATTTTTACGCGTCTACCCAAAAGGTGATCGTGAGAAAGTTTTTTTCTCACATCTCAACTTGAGTTTAATTTTAGCCTCTGCGTCGGAATTATTATATTTATGAATTGATATGACTCGCAGCAGTTGTGCTTGATTCTCGCACACGCGAGATTTGACTGTACCTTGGTACAGTCTAGTTTATTGTAATACTGATAGAGTCGATTTAGATATTTATAAAGGTTTAGTTGAATTCCACTTTTGATACAAAAAATACCGTTGCAAGAATTCACTTTTGGCAAATTATTCTCCAGACAGACAATTGAGATCTAAAATTGAAGAGTCGAGATCTCTATTAATAAAACTTGCTTTCATAGATTCCTCAACAAAACTATTCATAAGCTCGCTACATAGATAATGATGAACTAGGTTAATATATACTGACCATTTGATTGATAAAGTCAATTTGGATATTTATGAATTTTTAGTTGGATTTCACTTTTAATAAGAAGAAAAGACTTTTGCAAGAATTCATTCTTGGCAAATCTATTCTCCAGGCAGACAATTGTGGTCTGAGTTTGAAGAGTCGAGATCTCTATTTATAAAACCTGCTTTCATAGAGATTCGCTAGGGAATTTTGTCATAAATGATGATCTAAGTCGTTATATACTATAGTATATAAGAAGCTATTTGAATGGATGCGAATCTATGACTAAAACTTTAATATACGTCAGGCAGTTTGTCATCTAAAAAAAATCATGAGAAATCTCAATAAAAATTAAACAATTTTCAACTTAAACTTGAATCATAATAAAACACTTTCTAGTTCTATTAATGAAATGAATCACTTGAGTTAAATAAAAGTGAAATCGGAAACTAAATTTAGTTGAGCAAAACCACATTTTCAATGTTGATTTGCGTGATCCCCTGGCTCAGGCATTTGCTGTGTGTTCCAACCGCAAATCTTACACAGCAGGTAATCCCCTCCACACACACACACACACACACACACAAACACACACACTCGCACACTCAGCATCTCGGGCAACCCTTCAACACACAGCTTCTTGATCTTCCCCTTGGCAGCTGCCTCGTATCAGGCACGCTTCATACAAATCCATTTGTTTTGTCGCTTAGGCGCGCATCTTTCGTGATTATGTAAGACGCCAGCCCAGCCAAAGGCAACAATTAACGACGCATCTACCTTGAAAGTCAGTTGAGGTCTTAGCGCCGTTCTGTTAGCCCAGCTCCGGACCCAATCCTCGGCTATTGTTGCTCGCCTAGCCAAACAGCAGCTGTGCCAACTTTCGGCAAATGGCACGAGACTCAATGCCTTTGACATTTCACATCATCAGAGCAGCTGACCAATGGCTCCGGATAGCCGTTACAACAGTAAACCAACCCCCCCAAATAAAAATTTCAGAGATCTTGACACTCTTTTACAGCACATGGAATTGAAATTATTGCAGCTAAGAATTGGCAAAATTTTTCTTGTAGTCTGAGGCGGTTTTAGGGCAAATCTTTGGGCCGGATGGAGGAATAGTACAAATTTTAAAGATCTCTTTATCTTTTATATATATTTTATAATTGTTTTAGATATTTAAAATGTTTTAGAGAGCAATCTAGAAGCAAAAGTAGCCATCGTTATTAAAATGCATAGTGTTTTATATAATGATGTTTTATATATAAATGTATTGTAAAATAATTTAGAAATATTTTCTAATCATATTAGATCGTGGACAAAAATGTCAGTCCTATGTATACTATATTTTTTTTTATTAAAAAATAACTAAACGAACACAACATCTAAGCAATCTTATTATTTTTATCTTAAAATTTTGTTTAATTTTAATTATATATTTATACTACACATACTCCACATGGTCTGTGTATTATTAAATCCCATTTTCCAGAATATAAATTGGATTCTGATTGATCGTTCAACCTCTTGAAATAATCTGAATTAATTTATATGAATCTAGAACACTTCTCATTTAATTTACATCATTTTGTCCTGATCTTAAAAGTGATTTGTGTTTAGTCGAATAAAATAGATTTCAACTTGACCTTAGATGAAGACCTTAACATTAATTTTAATTTTCGAAAAAAATATATATTAATTACATTTGATATATATCATTGAAATAGATTTCTGTAATATCCCAACTTTGACTGCTTACAAAATCTTAGTACCCCATGGGAACTTATTTTTAATCGATCTGTAAACGTTTCCCAGGTACTCCCAGCAGCATCTTTCGATTTCCTTTGCTGCTGCCCGCATCTGTCACAAAAGTTTCCAGTTATCGGACTAGCTAGCGCTGGCCATTTATCAAATTCATAAAAATAATATTCAAGGGAGATTTGGAACTCCACGCCTGTCACGGCTTCTAATGCCGCAGCCGACGCGCACTTCACTCAGGTTTCTCCCTGAGCTGCAACAAGGCGCCATAAAAATCAACAAAAAATTCATTTAAATCAACATATATCTTAGCATCTTAGCAGAGGCTCCGCCCCTCCCCCCATGGCACTCGACACATTTGCTACTGTTTCATATTTTTCATGCTCATTATAGTATATATATGGTGCGGAGTTTGGGGTGTGGGTGTGGGTGTCGCACACCCCATAATAAGTGAAGTTCCCACAGAGAAAAAGTAAAGAACTCCCAGCTAAAAATATATATGTGCATCTAACCGCAGGCACTAATTTGAGGTTGCAAAAGGTCTCACATATGCCGCTGCTACCTTGCTGCCGGATTGATTAAGGAGAGATGAGAGGGAGAGAAAAAAAGGGAAGCAATCGCTCGATACAATAAAAATTAAAGTGTTTTAATGTGTAAATCGTGCGTTGGGGCATAAAAACGAAAGCCAAAACGCAACTAAAAATAAGGCACAAGGAAGCCCCAGTACAGACAGACGTCGACGGCTACCGATCTCAGCGATCGTGCCACACTAAACGGCATTTACCTTGATCCCCAGATCGAACTGGCGAATGGAAGCCAAAGTAACTCAGACGCTGGCTTCTGCGATTTGGGGCTGATATTGAACTTTGATTTTTTGTTATAGAATTTCAGTCGACGACGTTATACATTTTCTCAAGCCTGGACAACAGACTGAGTGTGTGTGTGTGTGTGATTGAGGCGATCGTCACGTTTGGCTCTGACCAGACAAAATGATCCACATTCAGCCACATGTATGAGTCCGACTGCCACTGCCACTGCCACTGACGCCCATATGTGTGATGAGTCTCGTCTGTTTCGTTTCTCTGTTCTTTCATCAATTCTGCCAGCTCATGACTTTTATTGAGTTTTCTCGTGGGAAAAAGTTTGCCAAAAACTTTGCACTGCTTATGAAGCAAGAGCAGATCGCAACAGATCGTTTAGAGCACCGATTAGTGAATCCAGGGGGTTATTACAGCAGCAGCAGCCGCACTCTTCGGCACTCTGGGCTTAACCACAACACTAATATAGTAATAATAATAATAATTGGCATATGTATACATACATATACATACACGCTGTAGCTAGATATCATAGGCAACAGCGGCGCTGTTTATTCAATTTACGAAACTCTGGCCCCTTTTACGACTCGGACGAAGGGATTCGCACTCGAGCATTGGCCAGTGCGCCAGCTGAGTGCAGTCGGAGTGCTTGATTTGCACAATCAGGGTTGCCAGGCGGCGCAATAGCTTTTATGGTAGGTGCTTTAAAGTCTGGCTAACCGAGCGCTCGCTCGGCCAGCTGTCGTCAGCTGGCGCATGGCCCAAAAAGCGGGTTATTGACAATTTTCTTGCACTGCATTGTGTCCTAATCCAGCCAACATTGTAAAGCAATAAAAATCCTAGAGCCCTTGCCGGCTTTTTTGGGGTGTTTGTTGCATGCGCATGCATTTATCATAAAACCGAGTGACTGATATCAGGTAAGCTTCGTAGGAACAACTAATGATTGACCCGTGACCAGGCCACAAAAATCGCAACCCCCTGAAGACATTCGGCCAACCGTCTTCAGGGGGGTTGCGATGTGGCCCGAAGTGTGTTAAGACAGCTGCCTGCCGGCCCAGCCAGGCGCAAGACAAGACATTCTGAAGGAATTTTTAATGAATTGCGCCTCATGATCAGCCCTGATTAAGGGGTGGCTAGCGAAAATTAATTCGCCAGCGTACCTGGATACTGCATACAAGGAAAACTGCCTTGTCCTTGAGACAGCTGACATTTATAGCTGAGAAATGTGTATATCTGCGTGTAGTCAGCATTGAAGAAAAATATGTGCAAAAATCTATAAAATATTTAGAATAAGCATTTATCATTTACTAACATTATTTGGCATGCCAAATAATTTCTTATTGCATTCTTCGTTTATTTAAATTAAATTTGTACATAATTAAAAAATACTGTATATAATTTTTACTTGAATAGAATTATTATGTTACTATTAATATTTTACTTGAGTGGAATTATAATATTTATTTATTTTAAACTATATTTTTATAAAAAAAAAAGATTTAATGCCCATAAGTTTTCATTTATTTTTTATTTATTTAGCTAATATAAAATTAAAACTAACTTTAAATTAATCCCTGAGTATTGAGGCCTTCGATTTAATACATTTTCGTATTGTGCTCGTTTTCTTTGCAGACTTCAATGCATTCGACAACTCTTTTGAGTGACAAAGTCAATGCACACACACACACATACACATACGCTCGAGAGTATGAGCGTGTGCGTGTGAATTGACTCACTCACTTTGAGTCGCTTTGCGTTTGAGCGCGTTTCGTCTGCGCTGGAATTTCTCGTCTGGCTGCGTGTGTGCATAACTACCCCAAATGCGCTGCTGAGCGAACGAACGGCCGCTCTCATGGCTACCTGCGCCTGCGCTGTCGCTGTTGCCGTCGCCGTCGCTGCTCAGGTAAACGAGTCGCATCGGACTCGTTTTGCCGTCGTCGCGCATCGTTTTTAGTCAACGCGCTAGCTCCGACGAGGATCAGTATCCTTTTGGCGTTCCGTGTGCGCGGTTGTCTGCCGCTCGTCCTGAAACGCAGCTGCAAGAAAAATAACAGAACTCTGTGAACTCTCACTACCACCAATGAACTCAAGCAAAACGCGTAAAATTTGTTAAGTTTTTATCGGTTCGGACACTACAATAATAATTATAATAAAAGAAAAGTACGTGCAATAATTTGTTGACACTTCAATTCGTACTTCAACCAAAGTTTTTATGTTGTGATTCATTTGTGTTGTGTGTGTGTGTGTACGTTCGTTTACTTCGACACAAACACTTGGATTAAATACTCGCAGCAATATTCCCTTGGATTATCAACTAAACAGAAATGGATTACAAAAACGATCTTAACTCTGACGACGACTTCGACTGCTCCAATGGCTACAGCGATAGCTTCGGCAGCAATGGGCGCATGTCCAATCCCAATGGCCTCTCCAAGGCGGAGCTGAGAAAAGTGAGTTTCGATTGGGCTGATAACAATTTCATAGGGCTCTAAGATATCTGCATAGATCAGAGATAGTTTCAAAGTTATTGAATGTGTAGAGAGTTTTCTATTTTTCGTTGTACAAATTTTAATTTTTTGTATGCAGATCTTTTGAAATCTTGAGCTTAGAATACATTTTTGTAATATAACAAAAACATAAAAAATAAAAAAATAAAAAATATATAAAAATATATCAACCATTTTAATAATGCATTAAATTTTATGGTTTA